GGAAATGGTGGCGTCAGCACTTTTTCAGCACTGTGATAACGATGGCGGCAAACAAACTTTTTTTTTTTTTTTTTTTTTTTCTTGCAGAGCATCTTTAGTTGGTAAGTTCTGAATGGGCACTGAAGTGCTGGCACAAGTTACCTTGAACGTTCAATGTTTGCTAAAGATGCCCAGTCTTCCTTGTTGTGTTATTGCCTGTTCTAATTTGGTTCATTTTGCAATGCAAAAACTGTTCACTTTGAATAATGTATTAGACTCTCCCTGGAAGTGGAGATGCAACTGCTTTGCATGCATTTTGTTGGAGCCAGCCCGGTATGAAAGCTGGGCATGAGCAGCATAGAAAGAAGCTGAGAGAAAAGGCCACAGCTTGGTGAGGGGGCTGTTAGCAGAACTTACACTCAGTTTGTGTTCGGAGTGTCTATCCCATCGGCAGGAGGTAAGCAGCACTAAGGATTGGAGGCAGTAGAGCAGATTTTTACATTTCGCTGTTCTTTATTCTCAAACTGTACGCTTTCATGTTGAAATCCTATCTTTAGAAATAATTTGTCTTAATTTTAGATTCACTTGATTTGAGTTGTAGCTTATTAGACATTTCCAGGGTGTATGCTGCATTACATATGAAAAGTCATATGCAGACATAATGAAACATGTTACAGTCACAGATGACAACTTAAAAGTTACCTTTGAATATACTTAAAATTTAAATTTACGTCAAATTATTATTTTTTCTCTTTTAGACTGAAGAAGTTGCTTGAGAACGAAAAAGCCTATCAAGCAAGGAAGGAGAGGGAGCACTCCAAGCGTCTGGCCAAAGTGCGGGAGGAGCTGGTGAAGCTAAAGTCATTTGCATTGATGTTGGTCAATGAACGGCAACAGCACCTTGAGCAAATGGACCAACAGAGCCAGCGGGTTCAAGAGATCAGCCTGCAGCTTCAGCAGCGGGACCATGCCCTTAATGAAGCCAAAGAGCGTGCTCAGGAGGATGGTCAAAGAGTGCAAAGCCTAGAGGCTGAGCTAAAGGAGAAATCTTGTAGGATCACCCAACAGCATGAAGAGATGAGTGCCAAGCTGTCCAGTCAGGAGCTCCACAATCGTCAGCTTAATGTCAAAGTTTTGGAGCTTACACACAAAGTGGAGGAGCTAGAGGAAAGCAACAAGACCTTGAGAAAATCTGATGAGGAAATGCAAGAGTTAAGGGAGATCATCAGCAAAGGGGAGTATGGCAGCTCTAACTTGATTGTTGAGTTGGAAAACCTGCGAAAGAGAGTGCATGAGATGGAAGGAAAGGATGAAGAGATAACAAAAACAGAGAATCAGTGTAAAGAGCTAAGAAAGAGACTAGAAGAGGAGAATAGTAAGAGCAAAGACCTAAGGCTGGAAGTAGAGAGGCTTCAAAACAGAATGATGGATTTGGAAAAACTGGAGGAAGCATTCAGTGTTAGCAAAGCTGAGTGTGCACAGATACAAACTGCTTTAGAAAGAGAGAAAGACCTGACCAAAGAGCTTTCAGATGAGGTTGTAGCTCTCAAAATTCGAATGAAGGGGCTTGAGTCATCAGAACTCAAATTGGAAAAGTGTGAGCTAACACTTAAGGATGACCTGCGGAAGCTTAAGTCCCTGACAGCTGCACTAATGGATGAACGAAAGACACTGGTGGAGAAAGTAAAGTCAGAGGAAAAGAAAAGAGAGGATTTGAGCAAGGTTGTTAAACTTGAGCAGGGTCGAGTGATGGAGGTGACCGAAAAACTGATAGAAGAGAGCAAAAGGTTTCTAAAATTAAAATCTGAGATGGAATCCAAAGTTGAAACTTTAACCAAAGAGAAAGGGGAGCTCAGTACTAAGCTAGCTTGTCAAACTGATCAAACTGAGGATCTTACGTTCAAGGTAACCCAAATGAAAAGGAGGCTAGACATGTTTGAACAAGAAGAAAAGCTATCTGCGAGGAATTCGGTTATGTGTGATCTAGGAAAAATCACTGATCCTGAAGGGAAAGACAAGAAAGTTAAAGAGTTAACTTTTGAAATAGAGAGTTTAAAAAACCGTCTGAAACAACTGGAAGTAGTCGAGGGAGACTTGATCAAGACAGAGGACCAGTATGATATTTTAGAGAAGAGGTTCATGACTGAACAGGAAAAAGCAAATGATCTTTCCCAGCAAGTGGAAGAAATGAAGAATCAGATTGCACGAAACAAAGCCATTGAAAAAGGGGAAGAAGAAAGCAGAGAAGAAGACCTCCGACAGAGATGCAAAAGAGAGGAGGTCAAAACCAGAGAACTACAAGCTGATGTGATAGCTCTCAAGGAGAAGATCCATGAACTGATGCACAAAGAAGACCAGCTATCTCAGCTGCAAGTGGACTTCTCTGTATTACAACAAAGATTCTTAGAAGAGGAAGAGAAGGCCAAGAATGTGGGCATGGAGGTTTTTCATCTCACCAAAGAACTAGAGTTAGCTAAGCGCCAAAGCCGGGCACTTCGACCCAGCTTAAATGGAAGGAGAATAGTGGATGTGGCGATCACATCCACTGCAGTACAAACAGAGCCATCGCCTACTGAATCAGGAGAGGAAGACACACCAGCTGTGTTTATCAGGAAGTCTGTTCAAGAAGAAAATCACATCATGAATAACATCCGACAGAAATGTCTGAAGAAGCCTGAAAAAGGTAATGCAGTTGAGCGATGCTCTTCATCTAGTGGTGATTTTAGTATTAAAAAATCCTGGATTCCTTGGATGAGGAAAAAGGACAACACTCCACAAGAGACCAACGTGGAAAAGCCTCTCGTTATCAATGGTGAATCAGTTTCTTCTAAACTGACCATGCCTCAAAACCAAGGGCAACCTGTACACATCCGGGTAACACCCGATCACCACAACAACACGGCCACACTGGAAATCAGCAGCCCAACCGCTGATCAAATGTTTCCAAATGCAGCTCCCCTTAGCCCTAACCCATCTCAACCAAAATCCAGAATTACTATCATTCCCACCTACTCTGTGCCAACCACTCGGAGAAAGACTCCTACTGGATCTCAAGGTCCTGCAAGAGCCAAATCCCCAGTCACAATCACAACCATATCTAGGGCCAAATCTCCAGAAACTAGCCGAAACTCTTCTTCTACCTCAGTAAGGCCCCTTTCCCCGGTTTCGGTTATGACAGTGAGCACTGCTGTAGCGCCTGATACATCTGCCTCCCCAGAGCCCCAGGAGATGACCATGGGCCGGGCCGTGTTCAAGGTTACCCCTGAGAAGCAGATGGTCCCAATTCCTATCCGAAAGGGCCACAACAATGCAAACATCATCACCTCTACAGATGAAAACAAGATTCATATTCATCTAGGTAACAGTATCTCCCCAAAGATGGTAGTCAGACCAGTAGCTAGTGTAGCAGAAAGCAAAGAACTGACCCTATCAACGGGGACAGTTTTGCGTTCACCTCGCCAGATCACCACAACTGCTACCAGAAATGTGCAGAGTAAAGTGACAAGCAGCATTACAATATCCAATGTGACATCCACGACTTCAAGATCCATCCAAAGCACGGTACGTTTTAGTTTAAGACAGATGTTTTTAGCATTTAGTAGCTAAATTTTTTCATGCTTTAAATGTTGTGCCTTTCTTTATTTTACGGTAATTTGAAAAAAAAAAATTCTGTTGTGTTTAAATATTTTTTGTCTTTGTTTACATTTAATTATCTGATCATTGCTACCTTTTGCAAAACAGATTGGCCATGATATCCAGTCACCTCGCACAGGACTTACCCGTATACCAATGTCCAAGAGCCTCAAGACAGGAAAAGCTGCACTAGGATCCACAGGAATCTCAAGTGGAATGAAAGTTGAGACTCGGACAGAAAGTCAGTCCATGAGGGTTGAAGTCAAAAAAGCCTCTGTGAATAGTAATACATCACACAATGGAGGGAAATTGTGAAAATACAAATTGTCTGGTCTATGGTGATAAGTCACTCCGATAAAAATCCCCAATTTTCCAAAACAAAACAGCTGTAAAAACTGCAAAACGGAGCAAAAAGTGTAGTTTTATATTTCTTAACTGTTTTTTTTTTACTTATCTCTCATCAATTACTGTCTTTTAGATGTGAAATACTTTATATGAAAAGAAATGGTATATCTGTGATTGCTATGTAGCTAAGTTCTTTTGCTTTTACTGGTTGTCACAAATGTTTTTTTTTTAATATATGTATGACCACATTATAGAAAATATGTATTGTTTTTGGTAAATTAACTTTTTAAGAATGTTTTGGCTTGTATTTTTTGGTTCATAATTTTCTTGCTGTAAAGATATTTTTACAAAAGCATTTTTAATAAATATTATGCAAGAGAACAGTTTACAATTATCATCATTATTATTATTACAATTATTAAATTATAATTACAGACGAATTTTAAATAAAAAAAGGCAACGACAGCTGTGTTCTTCAAATCGCTTGTGACAATGGCCTAATAAAAATATACTTCATATAGGCTATGTCATAAAAATATATTTCATATATATACTTGTGCTTTATTAACAAATAGGATGTCCACAACAAGTTTGTAATTTCCTAATGAACTTCCGAGGTTATTTATAGATTTGTCAAGTACAATCCTTCATTTAGTTGGCAATTAAAAAAACACCAAGGCAATAAAACTGTGGCTCTGCATCATTTCCACATTTGTGAAGCAAGGAGCGCGGTGCGGGCAGCCCAGGATCTGCAATGAAGTCTAGTTAGTAAAACTGCTGAAAATAAGTTGCGAGCTACAGCAAGTGACCTCACGTACGTTATGGCTCTTCATCAAGTTTTATGATATCGAGATAATTTTTACATCATTATTAAGAATCATTATTAATTTCAGTTTTCAGGAACCTCCTCCAGATAAAAAAAAAAAAATACTCATATTTCCCCGCTCTTCATACTGTCTGCTGGGTCTTTCACCGGCTAATAGTTAAGAAGCGAGTATTGGGGGAGGGCGCTTCTTCACTGTCTATGATGACGTCACCTCTACGTTCCATCATTTCATTGGACTGGAAACTTCCGGCTTCTTCCTCTTGGTGCAGTTTCCCATAACAGGTGAAACAAACGCCATTATGAGTCAATAGCTGGATCAGATTGTGGCTAAATTTAATTAATCTGAACACAGATTCAGATTCCCTAACATTTCGCCCTGTTTGCCGTTCGGGATTACCGAGTATTTACCGGTTGTCAACTGTTGCGGATTAGTTTAGCTTGAAGCGGACCACAACAATGATGGCGTCTAGCTATAACGCTAAGGAGGAGGACGGACACCACTCGGGATCTTCAACTCACGGCGGGACGGGGGCTCCGAAAAATAAAAAGCCGGACAATACAGCGTTCAAACAGCAGAGACTTCCAGCTTGGCAGCCTATATTGACTGCCGGTACTGTGCTGCCTGCTTTCTTCGTTATCGGACTCATATTCATCCCCATCGGGATCGGCCTGTATGTGACTTCAAACAACATAAAAGAGTACGAGGTACAGTTACAGTTCATCTCCGCCAATCGTTTCAGTCTTATTTTATTTCAAAGCTACTGCACTGGCTTTGTTTTAACTTTGTTCTTTCTCTTTCTGGTAAATTGTGAAACTACGTGGACTTAATGGCCGTGTATTATTACGTAAACATGGAGAAAAATGTTGCAATTTACGTTAAACAAGTGCATTGAGCTGTGTTTACAAAACTACGTTAAAGTGTTATAGTGTAGGTTCTCTCTCTAGAGGTACTGTCATAAAATGACACTTGTCAGGAAAGCTAAGGCTTATAGTGTCTTTAAAAAGCTCTACTGAGTTATCAAGTTGAACGTATTATAGGGTTCATCGTCTCAAAGTGTGGAATTTTAATCTGTCATTTTTATTATCTGTGTATGCAGTAATTTCAAAAGCATATAAGAGGTTAGGGTTCCTTTCAGACAATTAAAACTGACTTTATAAAAACGACTGCTCAAAAAAGAGAAGTAATTTGCAGAATTATTAAGTTACCTCATGCAGGGAAGCCGACAACTGCTTGGTGGTTGGACTTACTACTCATGGAGACTAGGGCTGTAGGATAATATCGATATCGCGATATATATCGATATTTTCTTTCCTAGAAAAAAATCGATATTCATCCGCAAGTATCGTAACATCCAACTGTCACCTTGCTCACTCACTGCTTGCTTTCCCGGGAGAGTCATCAGGCTTAGAGTGATTCCTTCAGATGTTAAGTGTCAAGGT